CACATAGATCTCAGTGTCTCAGTGTCTGTTTTCCAGGGAACTTAATCTAAGACAACTGATAGTTCATGTCTATTTAGATGCTCAACATTAGAGATGGTCAGACTCCTAAAAGATCTGGTATTATAGATCTCTGTTTCTAAAACTCTAAAATGCAAAAGGACGAAGTGGTTGTAATATACATCTGTAACTTTCAATCATCTCTGTTGTGTGTGCTAATAGCTCCATAGTAACAAATACATAATTATTGTGTTCTCCATCATATCTGTATAAATGCCATTTTGAGCAGAGTGTTTTTCATCTCTATGTATTTATATTTTTTAGAGAGAGAGTCTTGTTCTGTCACCTAGGCTGGAGTGCAGTGGTGTGATCATAGCTCACTGTAGCCTCAACCTCCTGGGCTCAAGCAATCCCTTGTGTCAGCATCCCCAGTTGCTGAGATGACAAACATGAGCCACTGCCCTCAGTCTGTTTTTATCTCTAACTCTTACCTCTCACCTTCCTTTCTTGAAAATTTTAGGAACTGTGTCATTGCTTCTTTTGATGGTGGTGTTGTTGACTATTTCTGTCCTCCTTCTAATAACTTTGATTCTTATTTAATCTCAGATTTTGCCGCCTATTTACAATGATTTGACCTTTTTCTCTATCTATAATCTTCACTGACTTTAATCCTTAAAGTTGCTGTGACATTTTCTTCATCTTGATTACTTCTCGCCAATTTTGAAGCATATTCTTTGACCCTTCTGTAATTTTGTAAGGGGAAAAAGATTTTCTTTACCGTAATCAATCCTCTCATGTTTTAAAGTTTATCCTATTTGTTAGCAGTTAGAACGTTATTTTAATGGTATTAGAGAACCTACAGATGCACTAAAAGTATGCCTCATCAATTGGTTTTTAGAGAAGAACCATGAGTTCATCTCTAAAAACATTCTAAGAACAAACATCTAAAGAATGAAACACCAAGAATGAGAAGCAAGATACCATTTCAAATCAGGAAAAGACGGAATCAAAACAGCTCACCTAAAAAGCTTTTCAGAATGCTACCTAAGCTCTTATCATCCTCTAATCGGTTAAGTGGTACAAAACCCCTCAAGAAACAGCTAGTGTACTTAGGCCCAGAAGCCCAGAGAAAAGGAAAAAGAGCTGCTGCCCTATGTCTGCTTGCCTGAATGAGGCTGGAATAAGACCAACTTGCAAGTAGATGCGCTACCTTTTCGCAGGGTGATTTCTGCATTCCCCACATCAAAAGCATTCCAGGAAAAGGTCTTCCTGTGGAGGAGTAAGGAAGAAAGTAGGCAGAAGAGACAGTCAGAGGAAAGCAGCACGCATACACCAACACACACAAACACAGATGTACAGGAAATTTGCTATTGTCCTTAAGTGTCCACTTCTGCTAAATTTCCCTGCTTTTGAAGAATTAGGTTAACTAGGCAAAAAGAAATACCCTTACTGCCTGTTTCTACAGGGGTGCTATTTACCTGATTTGCCAACTCTGAAAGTCAGAATTTTTGTTCTAAATTCAAGTAGAATCCACAGGGACCTCAAAACCATAGCTAGTGGCCACTCTGACTATTTATGTATCACTGCAAGTAGTAAATCAGGTGTTAGATATTTTGAGTATCAGCCCTAAGTACACAAAGCAATAATTAGAGGAGTTACTTAGGAATTTGTAAAGATGAGAAAGGAATTGATTGAGAATGACCAAATTATTATAACACCAACAGGTAATATTTCCTATGTGCTGACACTCTTCTAAGAGCTTTGCGTGCCTAATGTACTCATGAGGTGAGCCTTATTATTATCTACATTTTACAGCTGAAGAAGTCGAGGCTTAGAAGGATTAGTAACACTCCCAAAACTGTATTGTTAGCAGCTAAAATGAAGAATGTATACAATTTTTATGCAGTGAATTCCGATCACAGTTTCTCATGTCTTCGTGCCCATGTGGTTAAGGAGAGTAGAATGGGTCTCACTGGATCCCCCATAGCATCTCTGCCTTATTCTTGTCCCACATGGTCTAATCAGCCCTAAGATGCAGGCTTCTTCTTTTAAGTCCTCCTTACTAATCCTCAGTCTTATTCTTTACTTAGACACTTAGCAACTATTGTTTTGAAGATCCCAATGTTTCACAGTTTGTTTTTACTCTTCTGTAGTTTGCTTTACATACATGCTCTTATTTTTCCCATTTTCAAATAATTTTCCTTGAAAGCACTTTACTTGGCGGCTACTGCCTCTACTTTGTAGCAAAATTCATCTGAACAATTATCTACACTCGTCTCCAATCTTTCTCCTAAACCCACCTGAGCAGGATTTTGTTCCCGCTACTGTGTTGAAACTGGTCTTGTAAAGGTCTTCAATAACATCACATTAATAAATCTAGTAGTCAGTTCTCAGTCTGCGCCTAATTGAATATCCAGCAGTGTTTGATACATTGGATCACTATATTATCTGTGACACTTCATTAGCTGTGATTTAATTTGGAATTTCCAGGTCACCACCTTCGCTAGCTGTCCTGCCATTCACTGGTTGCCCCTTCTCTGTTTCTTCTGCCAGTAGCTGTTTTTCTGCCAGTCCTTTTAATGTTGCAGTACTTCCAGGGCTCAGTCCTCAGTCCTCTTCACTTCTGTATCTACACTCAGCCCTCTGGTAATATCAACCAGTCTTGTGGCTTTAAATACCATTTACATTTCAACGACTCCCAAATTTATACATCCAAGCTCAGAACTCTCTCCTGAGCTTCACCTTCATATATGTAAGAGCCTGTATGACATCTCCATTTGGATATCCAAAAGACATCTTACACCTAACATGTCCAAAATTCTATCCCTGATCTTCCTTCCCAAACCTACCCCACCTCAGTTGGTTCACGGTCGCTCGTCTTTCCAGTTTTCAGCTCAACACTTTCGAGTCATTCCTGACTTTTTTCTTTCTCTCATGCAATATAGCTAACCCAGCACCCAAATCCTGTCAGCCCCATCTGCGACATACATCCAGAATCTGACTACATCCTCACCTCTACTCTTGCCATCCTGGTTTCACACACTTTCATCTCCCACCAGAGCAACTGCAGGAGACACCTAACTGGTCTCCCTGTTTTCACCGCTGTCCTTTGTTAGTCTGTTCCCGATTGAGCAGCCAGAGTCATCTTTATAAAACATAAAGTCAGGTCATCCATTCCTCTACTCCACTGCAAAAACTTCTCGTGTGACACACAGTGAGAGTCCAAATCCTATAGTGGTCTATGGGACACCATAGGCTTTGACCTCCCTGTTGCCTTCTGATCACCCTTCCCGCTGTTCACTCCCTTATCCCTTTCCAGCATCCTTGCTGTTCGTAGACGATACGAAGTACAGTCTTTCTTTTTGGAAGACTTTCCCCAGATATCTACACAGTTAACATCTCATCCCCTTTAAATCTTTGCTCAAATGCCATCTGTTTAGTAAGACTTACCCGACTTCAGGTTACAAACTCCTGCTCTAGGTTTTAGTTATTGTTCTTTATAGCACTTAACACCTTTGACTGTCCTACATACATTTTCTCTTATTATATGTCTCGCTCCATTAGAACATAAATTTCATACAAGGGAGGGGTCTTGCCTTGTTGAGTTATAAGAGTTCTTTAGATATTCTGAGCAGTAGACCTTTAACAGATATATTATCTGCAAGTAATTTCTCCCATTCTGTGGGTTGTTTTTTCACCTTCTGATGATGCCTTTTGGTGCATACAAGGTTTAATTTTGATGAAGTCCAATATACGTATATATTTTTTGTTGTTCCATGTGCTTTTAGTAAAAGGGAAGTTTTAACGCCACATTAGTGGAAAGAGCTTCCTCCTGCTTGGAGTCCAAACCTTAATCCATTACTAAATGTGAACAGCGCTATGATAGATAACTGCATTCAGCTTTGCCCAGACAGCAGTAAACCTGGACATCACCACCCATTACCACTGGACATTTATTCTTAGCTCCTGGCCTTACTTACTTTGTGAGGGAAGTTCACTGTCCAACACTCCTGGGCTCTGCCAGGCCCCTCATTCACTGTTCCTCCTAATCAGTAAGTAGATTTGGGAGTGATGAACTAGCAGAGTTAGCGCTGCTCCTCCCCGTGCCTCTTGACAGCTGGTCTGCCTACGGAGACGATGTGTAATGTTCTGCTCTCTATCACGTGGGGAAGGAGGTTCACAACTGACTGTATAAGTTTACTCAGCTCATATATAAAATCTTACATCTGTAATGAAGTTGACATTTGTACTTTCATATGCCTTGCCCATTCACTGACGTATGCATTCATCCACAAGCAAAGAATTATTGAATGCCTGTTTGAAACCAGGCACTGTCTTACGTGCTGATGACACAACTGGAACAAAAGAGACAAGAAAAAATCCTTGTGTTCATGGAGTTACGGTGCTAATAATAAGATTGAAACAAACAAGATAAATAAGTAAAATTATATTGGTCAGAACTTGGGCAAAAAATACAGACATACCCATTATTGGCCGCATAGAGCCTAACAATGACCAGTATGAGAGGATTTCTAATCACACGGCTCAGTTTACCCTTGTCTCCAGTCTGCATTCTTGCTTGCAAGCAGTAGACAGGAACTCCAATTCTTTTACATATAGATGAAATTACCATGTAAAGGAGCAGATTTGAAACGTCGGTAGGAAACAAAGGTGCTCTGGAAACCAATTGCAGGGTGGAATCCCTGACCATACCTTGCCACAGCCGTCCCTTTAAACCTCACAGCTCCACGTCTGCTGCTGAAGGGGCAAGTTCCCAGGCAGAGGTCTCCTAATGGGAGAGTTGAAATCATGTGAGCACACTCTGGCTGCCATAGATGGGGTGAAGAAATAACTGGCTTTCCTCAATTTCCATAGTGAGAAGTACTGGCAGCCACCTAATGAGATCCTCTAAAAATAAAACATGTTGGATGTTAGCCAAAGGAGATATATATTCATTATATTAGCACCTATTACTACACGCACCCTAAGTCCTACTTACCTTACTTTTTCTATTTCCCTTTTTATAAGGAATGCTTGGTCACATTTTTTTTCTTTCTTTTAATCTTATGGCCTGAAATTGAAAAAAAAAAAAAAAAAAAAAAAAACCTGTCATTTTAAAACTGCAAGTACTTTTGTCTCCCGAGAAGTGGAGAATTGAATCAATCTTTGAGGCAAATTGCTCCTTCATTTTGGGGGTAAAAAAAAACCTACCACTGCTTAACGACACAGCATGCATCCTGAGTACAGATGTTTCTAGCAGAGCTACGCCTCTGAAGATTTAGTCAGCTTGTTGAGATAAATGTTTCTTAAGGATAGAAACTGCCCTATGTTGTTGCATTATTGTTTGTTTTTGTGGAGGGTGTGTCCGTGTGTGTGTGTGTATGTGTGTGTACACAAAAATTCAAGCACTTGCTCATAGGAAATTTGTGAACAAAGACTCTCAAGACTCAAGAAAGATGATATTTACTTCCAGCAGACAAGAAACAGTAAAAAGGAACTGGAAATAAAATATTGCACACATGGTACTGTTCAAAAGAGAATAACACAGTTTGGAAAATATACTTATTTTGGATAATATTCAGATGTGATTATCTTTTGGAAGCCTTAGGACAAAACCATCATGGGGTGGATTGTGAGTAGGCTCCCCTCAAGAGAAGGAACATCCCATCATCACCAATTCGGTACCCACTTCATATTGCTGCCCCTGCTTCCATAGCTTCATGCCTTTCTGCATTCAGGAGGCTGAACTCACTGCTGCCACTGTCTCTGCCGTGACCACAGTGAGAACTGCTCAACCCCTTGCCTCGTGACGCCCTGGCTGCTAGACAGCCCGACATGACGGTTGCTGAGTGGTGGAGACTGGGCAATGTGCCTGTATTCCAACTGCAAGGCAGAGGCAGACTCAGCAAGCCACCAAGGAGCGTCTACACCTCTGTTAGAGAAAGAAGGTCTTTGCCAACACTCCCTCCCCAAGGTGCTAGGAAAGAGTCTGAGCAGGCAAAGTAATAACGAATGCCAACTACACATTCTAATGTCATTTTAAATACGGTATTGTTTTGTAATACAATAAAATGTTAATTAGGTTTGGTACCATTGCCCGCATTTTCTACCTCAGAACCAATAAATAATTATTACTTGATAAATAGGAATTTAAATTTGTTGGTGCCCAAATTTTTTTTAAATGTATTCATTCATTTCACTCAATAAGTAAGTACCTATTGAATACCACATCTTCCTTGTGTGTGTGTGTGTGTGTGTGTGTGTGTGTGTGTGTGTGTGTGTGTTTAAAGACAGGGTCTCACTCTGTCATTCAAACTGTGGTGTGATCACAGCTCTCTATAACCTTGAACTCCTGGGCTAAAGCAATCTTCCTGCTTCAACCTCCCAAGCAGGGAGGACTACAGTGCATGCTACCATGACTGGCTAATTAAAAAAAAAAAAAAAACGATATAGGGTCTCAGCATTTTGCCCAGGCTGGCAAACTCTTGGGCTCAAGCCAGCCTCCCCACTCAGCCTCCTAAAGTACTGGGATAACGGGCATGAGCCAATATGCCTTGCTAAATTCTATGTAGTACTTAGAAATAACTTAGGGTACAAAAGCTGGAAAGTTATGTAGAATACCTTACCTTAAATATATTATTAAATATTCTAAAATTATTCATGAAAATGTTTCGTTCTTTGGAAAAAAAAATTACAGTTCTACCTTCTCCCTGAATTTTTCCGTATTTACTTTTCTATGTCAACTCTTTTCATATACCTGATTTTTCCATCTTAAATTCTTAAGGAATTGTATATGAAATATCACAAATCTAAAAATTGAGGCAATAGAAATATATTAAAATATTGCCTTTTTAAAAAGAGCTCTAGAAATGGAAAGATATCTCCCCTGAATCTCAAATCATATTTCCAAACATTATGTAATGAGCATACACTATGTAGAAGGACACATGGTCTAGTTTTGAGACAGACTTAATAAATAATTATAAAATAGGGAATATATTTACCTTTAGCACTTATATAGTTAATCTATCTCAAACTAAATGTTGCTTATAAAGTGAAGTAGTACACATTTTCATCTCCCTCAATATGGAAAATTGTCCCAGAACCATTTATTGAGGCATCTATGCCTCCCTCTCTGATGTACAAGGGTCACCTCATCATATATTGAGCTGAAATTAAGGCATGATTCTCCATTATGCTCCACTATACAGTTCAACTTTCCTTGTATTCATTCCAGGCTCTCCAAGCACAGTAACCCTGCTCCAGGACAGTCTTATCTGGAGGAGGTCAGATGGGCTTTACCACTCTATCCCAGCAATGTAGGCAGGGAGACCATCTGAAGACATCCCCACAGGGTGGATCTATTTCTGGGTGGGTTCTGTGAAAGTGGTCACCTCTAAAACTAATTATAAATTACTTTCTGTGTTGTGCTTCTCTTCCACTACCCCCAAACCTCCATTAAAATCTTCCTAAGTGTTATAGCCTCATCTTATCTTTCACTAAGGGAGACAAGGGAAGGTATAAGGATGTAGTGAGATGAAATGGTGTGAAGAAGGACAGCTGTTGTGAGATCATGCTCTGTAAATAGTTTCATGTTTCTGCAGTCAGCTCTCCGAGCAAAGAGCACTGGCACCTGGGCTAAAGGATAATTGAAGAGAAACCCTGAAGGTAGATACCTCTGAGGAGATGTAGAGATTCATCTCCCTGGAGCTATTTGTTTACATTCTGGGGTGGTGGAATAGAGACTTTTTCCTCTCTTCTCTAGAGAGAATCTGTTTACATTTCAGAATAAAAACCTCTCCCTTCCTCCCTCCCTTCCTCTCACTCCCTGTAAGCACCTAGAGGGGAGGATGGACAGATATGTCAGTGACACCTGCATTGACTCAGTTTCATAACTGGGGGGGTTCCTCCTCTGTGGTGCAAACCTCTGAATGCATAGGTACCTCTCGCACTCACTACACTACCCCACGGAGAGCTAGGGCTTGAGAAACTGAGGCAAGCCCTTGCTCTGTGACTAAAAGCTGCTCTGTTTCCTGATCTTGAGATCTTGATAGATAAGATAGATAGAGATAGAGATAGACAGAGACAGATAGAGATAGAGATAGAGATAGAGATAGAGATAGAGATAGAGATAGAGATAGAGAGATAGATACTACGGTAGGATGACTAGTTAGCTTGCAAACAGGGTAACATCTTGCTAACCTTTCACAGCTTCAGACATAGCAGCTGCAGTCCAAGTAAAACTAATTTGAAGACCACAGAAGATGATTCTTAGTGGATGAAACAGCAGTTCCAAGACCCATGGAGACCAGAAATCTAGGACTGTATGGTATTGCATCTGCAAGGCATTCAGGACAGATCTGTTCTCAAGTGTTTCAGAAATTCTGTGGGGAGAGAAAATCAGTAATAGACTGTATTTTCTGTAATTAAGGTAGTTGGAAGAGATGAGGTTAGAAAGGCAGGCTGGAGTCACAGGTCCAAAAGGACCAATGTTACATCAGAGAATTTGGACTTTATCCTATAGGTAATAAATATTTTTAAGCAATCGTCAGGGGAGAGAGAGAGAGAGAGAGAGAGAGAGAGAGAGAGAGACTTTTAAGATAACTGACAGCAATGCTCAGTTTAAATTATAAAACATTATACAAGTCTAGGTGACAGATGATGGGGTCTTCAAATGAGAAAGATCTAGCAATTCTAGTTTTCTTTTTCTTAAATTGAAGTTAAAATTAAGATTAGCTTCTCTGCTGATCTAAAATGCATTTGTTCCTGGCTCCAGAATTTGGATTACAGCAAATATACTTCTTTTACTCATCCAAACTGAATATGTAATCAGTTCTCCATTACATATTCTCTCGCTGCATTGTTCCTTATAAGTAAATGTTCAGCAGATTCTTAAGTCAGAACTTTCCCTGAAAGGGTCTTCATACACAGAAGCCATGTATGCCTTCTTTCCTCCTTCCTCCTCTTCCTCCTGTCATTCTGCAGCCCTTGCAAAAAACAAAATGGGAATACCAGAAATGTCTGTTTTCTTCCGTTGTGCATTTCTTTCCTCCTCTTTCTTCTTACTCTCCACCTCCAACTTCTCAGTTTCTTCCTGTCATTCCATCCCTGAAATCTCCCAGACCTGATAGTTGACACTGACAATACCCCTGACTAAAGCCAAGGACAGCACATTTTGAGCTTCTGATGCCTAAACTCCTACGTGTCTGTGTTTCTATCACCTGCTGCTGTTGTCCTTGCATCTCTTCCTCCAGCAAGTTCTGTACAATTTGAGCCCACATCTTCTCTGTGCCCTGACTCCTGATCCTCTTGGTGACTGTTTGAGTCCCTGTGGGTTCTACATTCATTCACTGAGTTTCCTTCTTCTCACTGCTGGTATCCACAGAGGCTTCACTCCAGGAAGCACTCAACCCTCAGAGAGAAGATCAACTTACCCTCATAATGACCATGCCAGGTAGGCATAAAAAAAGACTCTTATCTCTAACTTACAGATGGAAAAACTAAGTCACAAAGACATGAAGTGCCTTATTTCAGAGCTGCATCATTAATTAGTGACAGTGCCAGGACAAACACCGCACTGATATTTTTAAATGGCCACCTATTTCTGGTGCATTGATAGCTCTAAATTGACATCCTAACCAGTTAGAAATATTTTTCTTAACCAAAGTCTTCCATTTATACCCAAGGATTTAATTCAAGCTTTCCACAATACTTACAGGAAAAAAATGACATCCTAACCGGTTAAAAATATTTTTTCTAACAAAAGTCTTCCATTCATACCCAATAATTTAATTGAAGCTTTCCACAATACTCACAGAAAAAAAAGCTTAGACTTGCCTACAATACCATGATTAAGATTGCCTTTCTATTAGAAAAAAAATAGGCCCAAAGCTTTGTTAAAACACTTGAGCTACATTTTTCAGACACAACTGGGGAATTTAAACAGTGAGTAGAGTTCAAGATAATGCTTTTTAAAATTATTTCCAACTGTCCAGATAATAGAGGGAAAGTGTTTAATGACTGTACTGGTATAATGGAAATACCTCAATTTCCATATGATTATACATATACAAGAACTGAGAAAACTAAAGCTAAAGAATATTTTAATATTATTATACAATTATATTATTTACTCCTCAAAACATAAATACTTGAATCAATAATTTAAGAGATGAGCAAATGCCTAAGAAACAACTTTATGCTTTTACCAAAGGCATTAAATGCTATTGAAATTCAACCAAAAAGAATTTATGTTGAATTTACATTAATAGTTTCAGTTGCTCACATGATCTCTCTAAATAAAAATAGATGCCCTTCTTTCTACGCCCACCAAGAAATTCTTTCAGTTACTTTCATAAAATGATTCTTGTATTTTAAATGTTACATATGTATTCAAATAAGGAATAGAAGATAGATGAAATAGAAACAGAAGAAATGGAATAGAATAAAAATAGAAGAATAGATGAAGAATTTTTAGTAGCCCTCTAAGATGTAATTTCAATATTCAATTAATGTTTAAATTTTACATGTTTCAATCATATAAATTGGCTCAATGTACCTTGAATGTAAGAACTGTCAACTGTCTTTAGAGTATTTTCAATTCCAGTCTGTATTTGATCATTAAGTGTTCACACTCATTCCTTCACCCCCATGTTCATCCACTAGATTATGCAAAATGATGAAGTTTTATGTGATTTCAGTAAATTGAAGTTCAGCATGGTTTTTTTGTGTATGGTGATTTCCATATTTGTGGCTGTTCTTTCTGCTACACATGATGCCATGATTGAACACCTGTCAGACACTGCTTCTCAGGGCAAACTAGAGAGATGTCCCTCATGAAGGAAGTCTGCACAGTCTGCCAGCTTGGCCACATCAGACCTGTAGTTTCCATAAGCCACACTCAGTGCCTTCTGAAGAGCTGTGCTGGTCTCTGTCATCCATGGAAGCCATTTCCCATTAACTCAGTCCAGTGGAACAGATCTGTCCTTAGTGCATTCTCTTCTTCATTCCAAGCATCAATCTCTCTCCCCTCATTTTCTCTCTTCTGGAGCCACTTTTACTCCATCTTTCACTGAGCTTAACTTCCCCAACAAAGGCTGTATGTCTAAAACTGAAGGTGATACAAGGGAAAAAGGAAAGGGATCACTGATTAGTTGGTCTCAAAATACGCTGTACATGACAATCACTGGAAGTGCCCTTTTAACATATACGTCTTATCTAGTCAGTTTTGAGTGGATGTGAGAAATCTGCAGGAGGGGCCCTGGAAAAATCTGAAGCAGGTGGTTCTAGGACCACACTTGGAGAAACACGGGCCTAGATCCCACAATACAAATGCCTGGCTGACTGCCAGGAGAGACGGGAAGGGAAAAGTGCCACTCAGTCTTTTGTGATAAATTTACAATCAGCCTTCAATCGGGAAAATAAGAGAGTTGATTTCTCAATCTGCTTATCTTGCAGCATGTTTTGTAAACTTTTTCTATGATATAGAGATTCTGGGTGTCAGAATGAGAATCTGTCCCTCTGAACTGACAACAGCTGATAGGTCAAGTCAACTAAGAGGCAAGAAGCAGAAGAGGTATTAACATGATACATATTGGAATATTTTACATGTATGTATAAATTATACATTCATATTTTCAGATTTTGCTTTCACAAATGGTATTATCATTGGCTAATTTTTTTCTCATAGAAAATTTTTTGCTTATTTTACTTTCACCTCACAGTATAAGTCTAGTCTTATCATAACCATTTCTACCTAAGAAAGAGAAGAAATAAAGATTAAAAATCATAGTAATACAGCACCTTTCAAAGTTGCAACTTTCAAAGTGAACAGTAATACAGCACCTTTCAAAGTTGCCACTTTCAAAGTGAATATTACTTTTTCTTCCTCAATAAAAGCTTCAAGACACCCATTAGCTATTCATAAAAAAATATACCTTTGTGAAATATGAAAGATTGAAAGCTAGATAAATGTAAAATAATGATTAAAATGTAAGCAGTAGCCTCTGGAGAGAACAAGGTGTATCCAATAGTTTCATGATTTTCCTACCTTCACTATAGATAAAATATAAGGTCTCATAGTGAGTAACAGCAAAACCCCAATTACTTTTGCACCAACCTAATACCTTTAATTCTTGTTAGATAATTTCACTCTTTAAACACCTATCCCAGGATTTTTTGTGTTATGCTATTTACAGAAAAGGGGGAAAAACATTGTGAATTAAATGTAAAATACAATTGCATCTAATAACTTTAAGATTGTTTTATCTTTTGTGATATAACACATTATTATTACTATTTACCAGATTTTTTAAAAAATCAAGATCTACTTGCCTTAAGGACCACCACATTTAAGGTACTTTGAGTCTTTTAATTCTCAAAGAAGAGAAAAATTTCAGAAAACCTAGATGCAAAGACTGGCCAAAAGTTTTTATTCTCCCTTCACTCCCTATCAGGTACAGTACAAGTATTCTCAGATAATTAAATTCTACACAGCTGCTGCCTTCTGTTAGGAGGAGGATCTCTTCAACTACCTGAGTGGTCTCAGAATCTATAGCAGGATAGCTTTCTGAATAGTGGGGCAGATACCAGAGGGGCCGCTTTAGAAGCAACAAAGGATTTATGAAGTGTGCCCATGTGACCATTATATGCGACAGAGGTATAATATTAATCTCCCAATAGAATTTATGATCCTTTGTGATATTCTGTGTTTCATGTGTTTTACTGTGTTTCATATTATTTTAAGACACTGATGGGTAAGTTTTATCTTATTTTTTATTTTAAAAAATGAAAATAAAATAAGAATTATTTCCAAAGAGAACATTTAACAAAGGATTATCAGATCTTATGCACTCTTTCCGTTTATTTCTTTATATATAGTCACCAATCATTTACTCATTGGCTTCTAGTAAGAAGAAAAACGGTTATAAGGTAGTGTAAGAACCTTAGGTCTCAAGTAGGGCATTTTCTCAGGAATGTCATAGAACTACACTCAAAAAAGAAGATGAAGAAACTCTGTAAAACATTGGATTCAACAGCAAAGGAAAAATGAAAAAGAACTTATTGAAAGATATATTTCTGAAAACATGTAAAACCTATTAATAAAACGTACATTGTATTGCCTAATAGCTATAACATTAGTTCCGTATCCAAATGATTTTGTTTGGCAATGGCTCCTAAATGTATAGGTTTCAGAATTTCTACCTTTCTTCCATTTCACTTTTGCAAAGCAGTTACTTGCTACTCAAGATTTACATGTATCAGGGAAGCAGTTAATGATTTTGCAAAATGAGGTGACACTTTTTTGTAATGTGAATACTAACAGTTTATGTAATTGTTTAGCCAATTTATGTTTACTTAACATCAATATGACTATCCAGAAATGTAACTTACCTTTTATTCATTTCAGATACCATAATCTTAAAATTATACTTCAAGTGTTTTACTAAAATGAATTTGGTATTTCAAAAAAATTAAACATCTGGACAGCTGCTGATGCTAGCCTCTAATATATGGAAACAATTTCTAGGAACAGCTCATTTCAGATCCACTTTATTTCTCTTGGGATCTTAATATATATGACATAAGTTACTTTTGTATCTTCCTAATTTTATTCTATTATTAAAAACAATTAAATCTTCTCTCCTATGTGGAGCCCATTAGTATCTTTAATGTTTGTGAGTTTCTGGGGGATGTTTGTATGTGTTTTAGTTTGCATTTCAGAAAGAATTAGGGAAGCAGAAAAGTTCATGTACAAAAAATAACTTTAGAAATAGAACATTCACTTCTGGATTATGGGCAAAGAGATGATGTTTGGAAAACAGACAATAAGACTTTAAGCAAGTTGTGTCTTTGATTTTGTTTTTAAAAACTCTAACTTTTCTACTGCCAGATATAATTTTTAAGAGCTTTGCTCAAGGGAAGTTTAGGAATATGAAAAAATACACTATCAAGGCAACAGCACGTATAAATTATATTGTATTATTTCAAGGTGTACAAAAAGCTAATGTTTTTATCTTGTTAGCCTTAACAGCGGCACAGACTATATGCTGTTTTCTTTGGAAACTTCAGCACAGAAAAGTCTTTAAATATCATACCAAATAGCAATTTGTAGTCAATCCAGCCTAACTTTTATTGCTTGTTGGGCTGTTTGTTGTTGTCGCAAAGCCTCTGTATTACGATGTCAATTGTATTCCACACTAGCACTAACATTGTCATAAGAAAAAAATCATCTAAGAATAATGGCCAAAGGAATCAAAGACACACAGAAAGACTGTGTTTTAGACATAGAGAAGTCATAGCTTAATTTCCCAAAAAAACTGAATGGTTTGAGACAGATCTAGTTTGATTAAAAATCACTATTATAGTATAATGGTTATTTAATTCTGAGACAGATCTAGTTTGATTAAAAATCACTATTATAGTATAATATAACTATATTTTTGTACTTTTGTTTCTTACTTAGTTTTTTAAAATCCTAAGGACTAGACAACTAATTATTTGTGTACTTTCTCATATGCAAATGTTGATCACTTATCCCATTTTTGTTAACATACTAGACAACTGGCCAATGTCTAAGCCCATATGTGCTTCTATAACAGAATACTTGAGACTAGGTGATTTACAAAAAAACAGATATGTATTTCTTACAGTTTTGGAAGCTGGGAAATAGAAGATCAAGGCACCAGCAGAACTGGTGTCTGGTGTAGGTTAATTCTCTGCTTCCAAGATGGTGCCTTATTGCTGAGTTCTCACACATCAGAAGGCAGAAGGGCAAAAGGGACTATGGTACTCCCTTCAATACATTCATAAGGTCACTCAAATCATTCATGAGGGTTCTATCCTCATTACTTAATAGTCTTAAAGGACTCACCTTTTAATATTGTCATACTGGTGATTAAGTTTCAACATACGAACTTTGGGGTGCACACTCAGATCACAGCATTGAATCTTATACCATATATTTTCACATATCATGAATAGCCACTGAATTGTTGAGAAAATAGCCATTGACTATGATGGGGATGTCCTAATTGAAAGAGTTTGTTTTAAAGCACAAGGAATCCTTGCCTTGGATCTGGTCTGTCCTAGCCAATGAGCTGAGTCAACTCTGACTATTTAGCCTCTTTAAGTCACAGTTTCTATATTGCACAAATTAAACAGTGCAAACTAGTCAGGAAAATGAATTCAAAATTCTAGGCAAATTTCATGGAGTTTTGGGTTGTTTGTTTTTCTGGTGTTTGTTGGTGCTGGTGTAATTGTTGTTTTGATGTATCTTCCAAAATAAATCTCCTTAAGACAATTCTTACCTTTTCTCTTTTCACAGTATGTCTATGAGTGTGTTAGATGGCAGACTCAACATATTTCATATTTGTTATCAGAGCAATGCATTTCAATGATGAGTAACACAGCTTCAAGAACATGATTTCCTTTTTTAAGCAGGGAAAATTTTACCTGTGTTTTCCCATCCTAGACATCAAGCCACTTTATCTACAAGCATTTTCTCTTCCTTTATTCATTGGTGATATCTTCTTTGAATGTTGTTTGCTGAGTTTGGTGATGGTTTTTATTCTACCTATAAAAACTGTAAGAGTTTTCTTCAGAAAAATAGGTTGAGACATTGAATAGAACATTGAAGGCACTGATTTCTATAAATCTTACAAAGTAATTTCAAGAATACAAGAACTTCTACTAAATTTGATCCTTTCCTTCCAGAAATCATCAAAACTTCAAAATCAGTTTATGGCAAACTAAAAAATAAATCAGAAGAAAAGAATTAAAATATATGCTACCCAAAGCCATTTTAATTCATTGTGCTTCTGTTTCATTATATTTTCTCCTAATCACCAATTTTTATATAATAGTAAAGAGATAAATTTTGCCATTAAAATTTATTTTAATATTTTCTAGTTAATTGCATTTATTGTAATCAATTACATTAATCACTATCCAGCCTTTATTTCTCACGAGTATTTGTTTCTACAACAATCTATGAAAATCCCAAGGTATGAAACAATGTTGGAATTTTATCACCATATTCCTTTCTTGGTCTCTAGTCAGTAGGAAAAAAAATCCAGAGAATGGAGCTAAATGGAACAAATTATCAGCTTCACTTAGGAATCTCTGGAAACAGCTAGACTGAACACTACGTCAGTTCTGCTGCTTTCCACTCAAGTTTTGGAATTCAGGATCCACACTGTCCGGAGTCAAACATTAAGTCACAGGTGAGGAAGTTACAACTGAGACAATAAAAATCTGACTTGGTTTACTCATTTCATGATATAAAAATACAGAAATGTTTGAGTGCAGGTATTTACAAGAGATTGACAGAAAGCTAGGAAAGAACTGGCAGTTACCCGGCTTTGGCCCCGCCCTCTCATTAATGCAGTTGATATGCAAGTCAAACTTCTCTCACTCTTAAACAGATAAGTCACTTCTACGTGGAGGAAGGAGGGAGAGTTAGAGAGAGAAATCTCAACCCTCCTAACTTGCCCTCGTCCTCCACTTCCCTAGCTGCATGATGGAATGCATTTCCTGTAATGAAAAACATTTGAACAGTTAAATAATTCATATATGCTTCCATACACACAAAGACACACATACGCACTATTATCCTTAGTTTCAAAAGGTGGTTCCTAGGTGTAAATAAGTGGAGGCTTGATTTGAAAGGTTAACAAGTAAATATCCCTTTTATTAACTCAAGCAGCATACACTAAGAGTTCCAAGACAAAGTTCTCAGTACTCCGGAGCAGAGAAAAGCAGAAAGAGAGAAAATGATGCCCAGCTAAATAATACACAAATGACTTCAAAAAGATTATAGTGTTTCAGGTATAACAACACTGACGAATTAGTCTTTTGTTTGATTTTTTTAGTGCCTAGGGCTTGTTGAGGTAAAATCTTAATTATGAATAGCATCACAGGAAGAAATAAATAATTGTGAGCAAGTCAAATGTACAACTAATAAAATTTTTGAAGGAAAGAAAATAAGGAGGCAATTTTTGAAAAAAACATATTGCTAAAAAGTAATGAAAGTCACCAATTCAACAGATTTAATAATACACTGCATCCTGTGTAGGCAAAATAAAAAGAATTCCTATTTACTCATATTATAATGAAATTTTAGAACACCACAAAAGTGAGAAGGGGTAAAAGCAACCATGAGAAAAGAATGCAAATCAGACTGCCAATTACCTGTCAAAAAGAACAGCAGAATGTGGAAGATGTAATAATAGCATTTTCAGTGTTGAGAGAAAATAATTGGCAATCTATTATATCCAACAAAAATACCTATAAATAAAAAGGATAAAATTTAAAAGCTATTTTTTTCTCTTTTCTTTCTTCTTTTTTTCTTTTCTTTTTTTTTTTTTTAGACGGAATCTTATTCTGTGACTCAGACTGGAGTACAATGGTGTGATCTCGGCTCACTGCAACCTTTGCCTCCCAGTTCAAGTGATTCTTCTGCCTCAGTCTCCTGAGTTGCTCGGATTACATGTGTGAGCTACCATGCCCAGCTAATTTTTGTATTTTTAGAGAGGGTTTCACCACATTGGCCAGGCTGGTCTCAAACTCCTGACATGAAGTGACCTGCCCGCCTTGGCCACCTAAAGTGCTGGGATTATGGGCATGAGCCACCACACCCAGCCTAAAAAATATTTTCTAATAAGTAAAACTAAAAATTTACCTTAAGCAAGGTAATTAGACCTTCACTAAGAACATTCTATTAGGAGTTCTTCAGGCAGCTGGGCATCCTTATAAAAAGGAAAGTCTGAAAACCAAAAAGGTAGAAAGAAAACCCTAATTTATAATAATAAAAGGTTTAATTCTCCAGGAAAATATTCAAATTTTAGACTTGTATGCATAACATAATATATCTTGAAAATACATAAAGTGAAATTTGACAGAATTGCAAAGGAAAAAATATCTACCACTGTGAGGGCAATTTTAGTACAACTTTCTCTGTAACTGATAAATCAGACAATGATAGATTTCAAAATTGGCCATAGATTCCTCTCATTCCAGGATGCGTATCCCTTTGCAATGTGATTTTGTAACTTTTCCCATGAAAATGTGAAGTTTATTTCTCCATCATTTGAATAGGAGTTTGGGCATATAATTTACTTTAGTCAAGGAATCATTAGCAAATTGAATATGTAAGCTTACAGTTTTGGGCTTGCTATCTTGCTGGTCTTGGGAACCTTGAAACAACCACCAGATGAATCAGCCTGGGCTACCCTGCTGGATAAAGAATGCCTTTGGGCTTAAGGTGGCCATCCCTGCTGCTTACAATATATGGTCACTATTAGTGACCATTAAAGAAGCTAACCATTAATGCATGAGTGCATTTAGATAACTCCTTGGAGCAGAGATGAGCCTTTCTAGCTGAACTCAAGCCAAACTGTTGACCTAAAAAAATTATGAGCAAATAATTATTATTTTAAATCAGTCCATTTTTAGAGTGGTTTGGTTTGTAGCACGAGCCAACTGATAAAGAGTTTCCAGTTATATAGAAAGTTCAAAGGTAAAATTAAATAATATATTGCTTATAGACATATAATACAAAATCAGTAAAACTATTCCAAAAAGCAAGAGAATTATTAAAACAAAAATCAAAGCAATGCCTAAGATGAAAATAGAATTGGAAAAGGGCATATAGAGAATTCCTAAAGCTGCTGTGATACTCTATTTTTGACGTGGGTCATTAGTATAAACTATCTGGCTTTTTAAAATTATTATCCTTTAAACGGTATGTATCTGTATGTTTATATAGACTTCTAGAAATATATTTCTTGTTTTTACAAAAATGAAGAGTGAAAAAGGACAAACAGCAAAACCAACAGCATGTACAGGGGAGAGGCTATAGGGAATAAATAGGATGGAAAAAAAGGCCTCTATAAGAGGCTGGAAATTATATTCAATCTACCAGTAAAGAAACAGAGCCAAAGACATCTGACTGAGTGGAAAAAGTTGGTATCTGAAAGTCAGGAAAAAGAATTTCCCTGGTCTTTGAAATATTTATGAATTGCACCTGATTGGAGAATCACAGACTACGGAGAAAGTGATGCAGAACAATTAAACGATTCCAAAAATTCCTGGTATTACCAAAAGATCCTACAGGTAAAGAGCAGAACATTACAGAAAATCAAACTACGAGCACCAGGAAGACTAAAGTGGAAAAATGCAAGGAAGCAAAGATGCAAAGTTTCCCCATATGTTTATTTATCTTACATATAAACTGAACAAAGAAATAATTTATTACCAGTTGGAATTCAAGTTCAAATCTCAGTGCAGAACCTTGGTAAACTAAACTAACCCATATGGAAAGTTATTTTTGCACTAGTTTCTGTGCTATGAGAGAAACAATGGAAACAAAGATGGGATATTCACCCTCTGGGGAGCAAGTGCAGGACTGAGAATACTGATCAGATTCTAATGGTATCTGCAAGAGACAATGGAGATGCTAATTACAGGAGGTTGTGCTCACAGCTACAGGGACCTAGAGGTAGAGTGGGGCCATTCATTCATGCTTCCCAAGGAAAGTCGGATTGATATCATTGTTCTGGCATGATTATTCAGAGCACTCACTCTCACTTTTTTTTTTTTTTTTTTTTGAGACGGAGTTTTGCTCTTGTTGCCCAGGCTCGAGTCCAATGACACAATCTCAGCTCACTGCAATCTCCACCTCCTGGTTTCGAGCAATTCTCCCGCCTCAGCCTCCTGAGCAGCTAGGATTACAGGCACCCATCACCATGCCCAGCTCATTTTTTGTATTTTTAGTAGAGATGGGCTTTCACCATTTTGGGCAGGTTGGTCTCGAACGCTTGACTTATGTGATCCACCTGTCTAGGCCTCTTAAAGTGCCAGGATTACAGGCATGAGCCACTGTATCCTCCCACTCCTAAAAGTGTTTCTGTGAAACAATAAATTACACAGTCATCCTAATTATAAGGAAAATCTTCTGAGGGAAGTTCGGGGCAATAAAGCAGAAAGCAAGCATTTTTTTTTTTTGTACCATCCCTTGCTAATACCCATTGTTGTTAAGCACGTCTTTTCCAGGACATGAAATCCAACCTCTGGATCCTGCACAGTCAGTTCTCATTTCCTTCCCTTCTCCCTGTTTCTCTAACAATAGAAATCATGCCATCACTATCTTTATTTCAAATGAATGAAAATCTGTAAACATTTTTGGTAGAGTGATTCAATGAGTCACAGGAATTATAGGAAGCCCTAAATTATAAGATTCAAACTGGGGAGAAAGATGGAACTATGGAATAAAAGAGAATTTGAAAATGGGCATGTCTTGATTTTCATTTTAGTCCTCTCTTTTATTATAAAATGCCAGCTCCAAAATCAATAGATGCTATTTTCAATAGTGTTAGACGTTTACATTTTTCCTCAGGGGAGTATATTAAACCACATTTTCAGCTCAGTGACTTTCACATAATTTGCTTATACTTACTTTCATTCATCCTTGTATGCTAGGTGTATTTTCAGCAACTAGATGTTTTTTCTTTTCTTTCTGAATTTAGAGATTATACGGCTCTCCATTTACAAAATTTATAGACTTTTCAGTGAAGATGATTGACAAGTTCAGTTGTCGTTGTGCAGAATTGTAAAATATCTACAATGCATCTCCTAGATCCCAGCTTTGCTTCCTTAATTTCCATTCTTATGTGATTTTAGCAGCAGGCTTCTAAAAGCTCCTGTTTGCATTTTTTAAAAAAGGTGCAAACTCT